AAAAAAAAAAACAACCCAGAAAACACCAGAAACACACATGCGGCCGCAGTGTCCTACTGACGACTTACTAGTGTATCAATCTATCAACACTCTTCAATGAAACCCTACTAACAACTTGCTGACACTATACCAGCAACCTACTGATCCGCTTCTACGTATATATACACAGTCCTTTGACTAAACATTGTCGTTTGATCGGCTTCATCCCTACGCGCCTAGACCGAAAAGGATTATGGGGATAATTAATTCACAGTTACTAGCTGCCGCGTATGTTATCCGTGAACACGTCTTGAGCAAGTTGTACTGGACTGGAAATACTAAATTTTTGGCTCTTATCCCCAAAGTAACCTATTTCGAAGCTACTATCTGTAGCCGGCGATAACTCATCTGAACAGCGCTCAAGCAGATAATCTTTTAGCGCCGGCACGTTGTCGATATTTGGGACATCCTTGATGGAATATGATGTGAAACGGCTCTTGTTTTCCTTGCGTTAAACGCGAAGACAAATGTGCAATTTGCTCTCCATTGTGCGATTGTCACCGACTGATAGAGAACACCGCGTAGGGATGATCCGATCAGACGACAACGTTTAGTCAAAGGACTGTATGTACCCACTCTGATTCTGCATGTGGCTGTGCTCATATTATATGTATATAATTGAGTTTTACTTTATGGGATGAGTGGCGTTCGCGGCTAACGCGTCGTATTTCACCGCTGTGAGTCCAACGGGCGGGGTCGCTGGTTCTTCGAGCCAAGCGATCACCACATGTGAATTGAGTTCTGTCCTATGCTACGAGGGTCCTCCCTCGACCGTAAAAATTAACATGGGAATGGATCGCCTTCCCCACTCCCCCCTCCCTCAAACCCAAACCAAACCGAGCATATATGATTCCAAGGGGGAAGGCCTCCTCCACCCCTCCCCCTCTAGCCCCCAATTTGGGCCGCTCGGCAGGCTATGACTCACCAACATCAAAACGAAAAGACCATTTCAATATGACAACATTACCTCTTTCTAAAAACTAGCTGAAATGCAATCAATCTGTTTTGAACTAGAGCCTCTGTACTGTATAAAGAGATGTATTTCTATTGTTAATTTCGATTACCGCAGCTTTAAGGTTCGATTTGAGATATACACGTTTTGAGCTTCAACAGGGCAAAACCCTCAAATTTTGCACGGGACTCTATTTTTTTAATAGTTCATTCGAAAAAACTCCTAAAAATCTAGGTTATATCAACATTTTAGAAAAAGTTTATATTTCTAACACATGAAAAATAGATTTTTGTAGGGATTTTATGAGATTTTTTAGGAGCACCGAAACTGCAAAATATGACAAATCAATGCATCTCTTTGCCTCTGTCGAAAATATCTATGTATTATTGTAGAATGATTGACTAGCCGTCATTCGTGCAATCATATAATCACTTCCGGTGGAGCAAGTTTTGCTCCAAAAGCTCGTGCGTAGGCTTCCATTAAATGCTGGTTATCTCGAAAATAAGCTCGGGACACCAAATTTTTCTTTCCAGATTTGGAATCAGCATTAAATTTCAATTCGGAAAATCGAAGTTTTAAAAAAAGTTTAAATCGTTTTCCAAAAGTAGACAGTCATCTCAACAAAACATTCCGTTCTAGAAGAAATCAGCCAATCAGAGATTCGCTTCCATTCTAATAACTTCATAAGAGCGTAGCAAGGGGCTTCCTTTGTTGGAGTGTCATGTGATGATCAGTACCTTTCTTTCTTGTATTGATGCTCCTCTTGAAGAACTCAAAAAATATGTTTTCCAAACAGATTTCTCTCCTTCTAACGCTATACTATTGCTGTAGTTTTGTATATCCAAGGGCAATTGAAGATCGATTGAACGATTATGCTCATATTAAGAGTCACGCGAGCACAAGCGTACAAGAACAAGCCGTCAGAGATCTGATCTCAAGACTCCTTCCAGAATACACTTCTTTTTTCCATATTACAGTTGATCCAAAACTCAGTGGAAATCCCAACATGGACATGTTTGAATATCAGACTAATGGCTCGAAGCTGTTCATCACAGGTACCACTGGAGTGACGTGTTCTCTCGCTGTCAACCACTTCTTGAAATATTATTGTAAAGCACACGTTTCGTGGAGTGGCGACCAGTTGAACATTCCCAAACCATTCCCAACGGTGTCATCATTGGTCACCGTACGTGTTCCATACAGGTTTGTAAACCTCGGGAATTGTTTTTAGTTCTACCCCTCTTTCAATAAGAATTTTGTCATGACTCTTGGTTCTCACAACCGTTGGATGAATTTAACAAAACATTCGTCATTAGTCTCTTTTGTTATATCATCCAACATGGCCACCATGTCTTTTGTTATTGTATTCTCTTAGGAATAATTTCAAACCAGCAATAATATATATGCACCTTAGCATATACCAACTTGTGTACTTCCTAAGAACGCGCACGGTCATTGGTTAATTGGAGGTGAATATTGTACGATATTCACCTCTGAATCTTGGAATATTGAGTTGGCAACAAAATGGCATCTGCCGGCAATCATTTTGCTACAATTTCCGATGAGGAAATTGAAAAAATGAAAGTAAATGCCATTCCTATCAATACTAAAAAGGCAACGAAGTATGGCCTAAAAGTTTTGCTAAAAGTTTTGCTAAAAGTTTTGTTATATGCTAAAACAATTATTTGCCTTGAATTCCCAACGAATTCCCATCCAATTCCCAGAGAGAAAGAAATTGGGAATGTGGCACTGGTTCCCAATGTTAGTTTGTTGGGAATTTTGTTTTTTTGATGTTGAGTTTGAAAAAATGAAAGTGAGAGATTAGTCAAAACAAGTGAGTAAAGCCATGCTTGCTTTTTTAATCTTTATGCTGAGATCATTTGAAGAGCATCGATGTATTGATAACAGGCTTGAATATTAACTTAAATAAAAACTTTCTTCTGATTTCTTGCAGATTTCGCTACTATCAGAATGTCTGTACACCCAGTTACTCATTTGTTTGGATGAATTGGACGAGGTGGCAGAGACAGATAGACTGGATGGCTCTAAATGGCATCAATCTACCATTAGCTTTTAATGGACAAGAAACTATCTGGCAAAGAGTATACTTAAAGATGGGGCTGAAGCAAGAAGACCTTGACTCTCACTTTGGGGGACCTGCATTTTTGGCTTGGTAAGGAAATGTAATGCTAATTAACAGGATGCAGTGGTGATTTGAAACTAATCCCTTTGAATTTAATTAACAGTTAGCATTTTCTGTTCATCAGTTTATCTTTTTATTGGGTAGTTCCAGAAATTATTCATAGAGTTGTTCGTTAAGTCTCTCCTATGCTTCAAGGGTTTTCCGGGTTCTCCGGCTTTCCTCCCTCCTCAAAAATCAACTTCTAAATTCCAATTGGAATTACATTGGATGAAGAGCCACTCTGTAGAAATGCCACTGCTAAATCCCATTATTATTATTATCATGATGATGATGATGAGTTTGCAGAATATCGAAAACCACAGTTATTCAGAAATTTGTTTGTATTTGTTCAGGTATCTCTACATACCCCCATTAGCACCGGAGTATGTTCCAGGGTACTGCAGGGTACTGGATATTTACAATGGTTTCCATTTTTTTGCAGGGCTAGAATGGGAAACATGAAGGGATGGGGTGGTCCATTACCGTCAACATGGTACAAAATACAGCTAGAGTTGCAGCACCAGATTCTCACAGCCATGAGAAATCTTGGTATGACTCCAGTTCTCCCAGCATTTGCAGGTCATGTCCCAGATGCTATAACAACACTATATCCAAGGGCAAATGTATCCAAACTTGGACGATGGGCTCATTTCAATAATACTTATTGCTGTACCATGCTGCTAGAACCCACTGATCCTCTGTTCAAGGTAGACTGAAATTTGATCTGTCTGTCTGTTCTTACTTCAACAAACTTATTTCCATTGCTTAGCCCTTTCCACCAACCTCCTACTGATTATCTGCCTGTTTTTCCATCAACCCATCTATCCATATCTCTCTGCCTGTCTGTCTGTCCATCCCTCTATCTATGTATCTATATATCCATGTTCCGTTCTGTCTGTCTGTCCATCCCTCTATCTATGTGTCTATATATCCATGTTCAGTTCTGTCTGTCTGTCCATCCCTCTATCTATGTATCTATATATCCATGTTCAGTTCTGTCTGTCTGTCCATCCCTCTATCTATGTGTCTATATATCCATGTTCTATTCTGTCTGTCTGTCCATCCCTCTATCCTGTCTGTCCCACCATCACACATTTTACAATAACTTATAAATTTCTCGCGCGCTGATTGGTTATTTTTTATCATCAATAAAAAGACAGACAGATAAAGCTGACGTCAACGAGCGCGCGCTCTTTCCATTAGTTGTTTTGATCAGTAAAAATGAGAAGTTTTTATCGTTTTTGTTATTGTAAAAAGCAAATTGACWTCAGATTTTTATGTGTCTGTCCTCTTATTGACAATAAATTTTGCCATCACATTGTTAAAGCAGTATGCAGATCCACACCACTTTGACAATGTGATGACGCAATTTATCATCAATAAGAGGACAGACGCATAAGAAGTCAATTTGTTAACTCTCCCCCCTAACATGTTTGTTGTGTATATATCTGCCTGCCTCTATCTATTCATCCCTCCATTCCTTCTGTCTGTCTCTCTCTCCATTCATCTGTCCGTGTAATCCCATCTAACCATCTGTCAGCCTGCCCATCAATCACTATTCCCCTAACATGTTTGATATCCATATATCTGCATTCCCCCTGTCTGTCTGTTTATCACTCCATCCAACTTCGACTCAGGCTATTGTTTTTGACTTAAATTGATTAGGAAATTGGAGAAGCATTTATTAAGGAGCAAATCTTAGAATATGGAACCACCCACCACATCTACAACACTGACACCTTCAATGAAATGACACCAAGATCCAGCGACCCCTCGTACTTGAGTGCCACAAGCAAGGCTGTATATGAAGCAATGACTGCAGGAGATCCCCAAGCTATCTGGCTCATGCAAGGATGGTTATTCCAAGATACTGTGTTTTGGAAGGCACCCGAAATTAAGGCATTACTGACTGGTATGTAATCCAGTTACAGGTTTTCTTTCTAGGGTGAACAACAGGTAGCTGTAAAACAAAAATCAGTTCTCCCCTTTCACACCTTCTCCAATCTGCCAACTAATATATTGCTAAATTAAGTGCTTCTTTGTAGGTTGGTATCATTATGTACTGTTTAATAAACTTGCAGGAGTGTTTTATCAGGATTTAAAAACACGAGGCGTAGGCGAGTATTTTTAGACCTGATAAAACACGATCTGCGAGTTTAGAGAAAATTCAAGTTAAAGTTTTTGCAAATGAAGATGAATCTATATCAGATATAAAACCTCCTTCATGGTCATGATTTCTATTGTGTTTCCTTCATGAATTATTAAATGAGTTTTTGAATAATAGAGAAACTGCTTCAACAATCATAAAATCATTATAAATTTAATAACCGAGCTTTTGGGCAGTAAGCGCCCGTCATCAGGGTATGATGTCTGGAGAGACGTTCAGTGGTTATATATGACTGTGTACAAATGATCAAAGAGCGTGCGCAAGACTATAATATATATTAATATGTTGCTGTAAGGAAAAGAGAGGAAATAAAAGAGGAACTGTTATCAAATGCAAGCAGATTAATAGTTTTTAGTTTTATTCTGTGCTGCAAGGGATTTCCTCCAAGTTCCCTTTTTTCCTCTCTCATGACTGAATCAACTTGTAAATTCCAATTCAACCTATGATATTGTGGGGCTTACACATAAAATGATGGCTGGTCATAAGATATTTGCATTGCAGGTCATTTTGACCAGTAACATTAAGCCAGAAACAATAACTTAACTAGCTAAAAGTTATTTGGCTGGTTATCATGACTGTTCCCTGCTAGCAGAGCCTATTTTCCTTTTTTTTTGGTTGAGAGAAAGGAGAGAAAGAGGAGAGACTCTGCTAGCAGGGAATCATGACCGATGACTGACGGACAACGACGACTGACCGGACATTATTTTTATCCCTGTATTTCAGAGTGCTTCATTCAAAACAGGTATTCTCCCCATTTTTCACATGAGGACTGATTGCTATTATATATTTTTCTTTTCACGCAGGTGTCCCCACCGGAAAAATGATTATATTAGATCTGATGGCCGAGGTGAATCCTATTTGGCAGCGATCTTCTGCTTTGTATGGCCAGCCATTCATCTGGTGCATGTTGCATAACTTTGGAGGGAACCATGGTCTGTATGGTGCTATAGAACGTGTTTCAACCAGTGAGTAAAATGCCCCTTGAACATTGAACAAAATATGGATACTGCACAATTCAATCCAATTCAATAGGACGTTTGCACGATGGCGTTATTGACCTCTACTACCAGACTCCCTTGCACACTTTCTTATGTTCAGTTAATTAGCACCCATTGTCTTACTATTCTCCTGAGGGAATACAAATTTAAATAAGAAAGAAAATTTACGAAGCATCTTGGTAGTGGGAGTCAAATGACGCCATCATGCAAACGTCCTATCACTTTATAAGTGCAAACGTGACACTATTCAAGGGTGATGGAAGTTTTAATCAACACCTGTAGGCTTTCTCAAAGGTTCTACCTCGGGAATCGGTTGATGTCGAGATGCGTGTGATTTTTCAAAGTTTTATTCAAACGAAGTTCGAGGGTCAATTACATGTTTCTATCCATTTTGCTAGTTTACACAAATATACGATTTGCTGTGGATGAAAAATTATAGGCATAAAAATGTAAGTCTAACTTCTACCAAACTCAAAACATAACTTACACATTTCCTATAATAACAGTCAACTCCTACTCTCTCTACTCCTCACTTCGACTTCCCCTGGGACCTACCAAACAGCACTTCCACAGGAAGCCCGTGGCAAAATATTATACGTCGCAACAACACTAAATGTTTCAGTTTGGCCCTTTTGGTTGAGTATTTTGATCTCTTGTGTGGAAATTTGCACAGTCGTGCCCCCAGTTCAGGGACATTAAAATAACAGTAATTGGGGCTGGAGGTGCTGCCTTGTAAAAATTGGATTGTTATGTAAAGAAACCTTTATTATAATAATGTTTCCATGTCCCCCAAGAATTCAGGTGTCAAATATTACTTGCAATTAAACACATTCAAACAGAAAGTTTGTTTTTGAAAGAAAATTTTTTTCCCACCAGACCCGGTCAAAGCATTTCACACCTCCCACAACACCATGCTTGGCACAGGCTTAACTCCAGAAGGAATATTCCAGAATGACATGGTGTATGATTTAATGAATGAGATGGGCTGGAGAAGTGTTGGATTTACTCCAACAGAGCTGCAGGACTGGGTGATGTCATATGCTGAAAGAAGATATGGAGGCATCAATGGGCAGATTGCTGAAGCATGGAAACTGTTGGCAAGGAGTGTTTACAACTGTACTGATGGCTTTCATGATCACTCTGGTTCTGTTATTGTAGTCAAGCCATCATTAAGTGTTTCTCCACATGTCTGGTTTAATCCTGAGGATGTTTATGCTGCATGGTACAACCTGTTATCTGTAGCTGATGGGTTCTCGAAGGTGGAAACATTCAGGTGTGATACATGTTAAAATCTACAATCATGACCATTGATATGCCCTATTATGCACAATGATGAACCATTCAAGCAGTCTTTTCCATCATCATCATCATCACCACCATCATTATCATCATCATCATCACAATCATCATCATCATCATCATCATCACCATCATCATCGTCATTACTATCAGAATCATGGGTTCGATTCCTGTCTGGGGTTCATATTGTTCTGAGTCAGACGTTGTTCCAATCTTCTTTCATGTGTTATTTTATTCTATTCTTTTAACTGTCAGAATTATCATATTAAATATACATTATCATCATTTTTACTACCATTATCATCGGGGAGCATCATTGCCATCATCTTTTGCAGCAACGTCATTATCATCTTCACCATCATTATCATCTGCACAACATTGTCGTCATCACTATTACCACCATCATTGCCATTATCTGCAACAGTAGTATTGTCAGCATCATCTGCAACAGATCATCATCTGCAGCAGCAACATTGTTATCATCTGCAGCAACATTGCAATCATCTGCAGCAGCAATATTGTTATCATCATCACCAGAATCTTTGACAGCATCACTATCACAATTACTACCATCATCATTAGATGTTATTTAATGTCCATCATTATGTACACCAGTGATACGTGAAATTAATCAGTGACATTATTTGGTTCAGATATGACTTGGTGGATGTTACGAGAGAAGCTCTTCACCTGATATCAATCCAAATCTACAACAGAATAATCAATGCCTACAAAAACAAGCAAGCATCAGAGCTCATCCATTATGGCTCCATGCTAATTGACCTGTTTGGAGAAATGGACACACTCCTCTTGACCAATGAGCATTTCTTGTTGGGACGCTGGCTGAATGCAGCAAAGGATTTGGCCATTACTCCAGATGAGATTCAACTTCACGAATACAATGCACGTAATCAAGTAACCCTCTGGGGTCCTACTGGGGAGATTGAAGACTATGCTAATAAGATGTGGAATGGTTTGGTAGGTTCATATTATCGGCCTCGATGGATACTTTTCATTGAAGAACTCTATGAAGCTGTCTCCCAAGTCAAGACAATTGATTATGATGCGTTTAGTAAACAGTTACTGGTCCAAGAGACTCTATGGACATATGGAAGTGAAAGTTATCCTGACACACCTGTGGGAGACAGTGTTACTGTAGCCAAGAATATATACCACAAATATGCAGAATTCATAGTTAAAAAATAAGCTTGTTAGTGGTGTATTTCTGCCTCTAGCTATTCGCACAAAACTGAAATACGGTTTAAGAAATGAACTTTAAAAATACCTATAATTAGAATTTAATTCTTTTTTGACAGCTTTTATAACCTTTTTTTAATACTTTTTTTGTAGTCTATTTATGAAAATATATATTTTTAATTTCTTATATTTTTTATTATATAAATAGAAACGTTGCACTATATACTCCAAAGGGTGCACCTTGCATGTAAAATTAAATCAGGGCTGTAGCCACAAATTTCTGATTGGTCTGGTTTGCCACACATTTGATTGGTCCAGTTTTCGAGGGTTTTCGGTCTTTGTTATCAAACTAATGAATAATTCATGAGGAAAACACAACAGAAATCACGACCATGAAGAGTGTTGTAAATCTGATACAGAATCGTGTTCGTTTGCATAAACTTTAAGTTGGATTTTCTTGGGCAGATTCACTTTAATTTTGAAAATTTTAGTGAAACACAAAGGAACTAACCTAGACGTTTGATAAGCAATCTACAGTATTCCTGTCCGTGTTGTATCCGATATAAAAACTCTCGGCTATTCCTTGAGTTTGTATATTGGATACAACACGGCCACTCATACTGTATGTATTACTTACATTTGTTTTTTATTTTTTTCTTCCCAAAAGTTGGTCCGGTTGAAACCGGTGGCTACGGCCCTGTAAGTAGTTTTAGTTATTAACTACTGAAAGATGCCTTTTCCAATGCAATGGTATATTCAAACGTGTAACTCTCGATACAGCGGACACCATTGTGAACATCACTTGGTGTCCATAATAGCAAGCGTCCGCAATATTGAGAATAAATTAAATACGCTGTTCTGGTACAGCACTAGTGGTCGTATCTAATTAGCATATGAATTCAAATTGTCCCAAAGGATTTATGAATTATTAGAGAATTTCACAAGTTGTTTACAACATTCCCGTCCGTGTTGTATCAACCATACAATCACTCGCCTCCAGCTCATGATTGTACAGCCAATACAACACGGCCGCTCATACTGTATATATTACTTACAACAATAGACCTTCTTTGAGATAGCGAACATGGTGCATTGTGGTCTAGCTTGGGTACAAACATCATGCCTTATATGGTGTTGTTAGTACCAAATCTAGACCAAAATGCATCCTGTTTATCGAACTCAGGAAAGGCCTATGGTCTAGACCCTTCTACTCTGGGCCCCTGAGATTCTATTTTAATGCTTCCTGTGGTTGTAAGACCCTCAAAAGCAACCACAAATCCTGTTTCTAACATTTTTTAATCTCATAACAGATTTCAACATATACAAACATCACCATGATAGTTAACAAAATCACATTTTACATCAAATCCTCATTAAAATGCTATATTACTGGGCCGGCCTGGTTGTACGAAACATGAATAGTGCTATCTGACGGATAAATCTTATCCAATGGATAAATTTATTGGATAACAACATCGATTTGTCCACTGGATAAGGATTTATCCATTGATTAGTGCTATCCACCCTTTGTACAACCGGGCCTTGATATCTAAAACTTTCTCAAACTCACTAGCAATCAATTGGTTTTTACATTCTGAGATTTTTTACAGTATTTCATTATTCATACACCTGAAAAGTCACGACATGCTTTTTTGAAAAACCTTGGTTTATAACTTAATTTTAAATTAATTCAGAGGTGTTGCAAGGGTTTCAAGAACCAGCTGCTATTCAAGGCCCAAATTTTGAAAATGGATGTGGTCCTCAATGGTGTTCAAATTTATTTTCTTCTATAGGATAGATTTCGGACAAGTTGACTAGTTAGTGACTCTTTAAAGAACTATTCATCAAAGAATCAGAGAAAACGAATGCAATCTTAGGAGTCTATTTTCGTGATATTAATGATCAACTACTTGACGAGATTTTCATATGTAATGTTAGAGTGCATACCATATGTTTGTGAAAAAGTTAACAAAATTGTTTAAATCAGTGCAAACATGGTGCAAAGTTTTTGTAGGTCTATGGTCTATTGAGGTCTACTGAACTTACTAATCTGAGCAAATTTGTGCAATGTTTTTCATGGATATAATGGGTATGCACTCTATCATAATTTCTTAATCTGCTTTTTCATCAAAAACAGACCGCATATTTATTAAAACGATGCAGTCTTATACCCCATTCACACCAAGGCTTAAACATGTTTAAAAGTGGTTTAACAGGTTTGGAAAACTATCTACGAGCACTGCACAATCTTTGGTGAAATAATGCACGTAAGCTATCCTCTGTCTTGCTCTGACAATATTTCAGAAAGCTTCATTATACTGTAGGTTACCAGTTTCTCAATTTTTTTCCTAATGAAAACAGTTTAACTAAACACGTTTAGGTGTGAATGGGGTCTTAACTACACAATTACTTTATTACCATGACAACTAGTTGTGTTTCCATAGAAATAATCCTTTCTTTGTTTTCCTTAAATTCAAGCGCGTTTTGTGGGTCCTAGACTATTAAATATGATCAAGAAAGAGCAACAAATATTGTTGTTACCTTTCAGATTGGGATAAAAATCTGAATTAAAAACATAATTTTGTTAAACATTCAATCATGTGAGTGGCAAGCTAATTGCCACCGTACAATCTACATTAAAAACATCAATAAAGCAAAATTATTGTCTGATGGCATCCTTGACACACAGGTTTTCAATTGGTGAGTTATGTTTCTCTCATTTCACGCCATGTGTCATTCTCTTGAGAATCGTTTCTTTGTTAACCAGATGCTTGTATGAGTAAACTGATGACTAGTTTGTGTGTTGAATGTAACTGTGAATAAGGAAACTTAAACACTGGGGAAAGAAGTTTAAGAATACTGATTTTTTGAACATTAGTCATTCGTAGGAATAAGAAACAGGAAAAAAAACCGGATTCCCAAATTGGGAATTGTTGGGAATTTCCTTGAATTCCCAATATTCGAACACCAACGTTGGGACTTATTGTTGGGAATTTCCTTCTAATACCCAATAGAAAAACAAAATTCCCAACACACTAACATTGGGAATCAGTGCCACGTTCCCAATTTCATTCTCTCTGGGAATTGGATGGGAATTCGTTGGGAATTCAAAGAAATTCCCAATAAATTCCCAATTTGAGAATCCAGTTTTTTTCCTGTGAAGAGCTCTGACAAATGAGCCTAATGTCCAAAATGTCAGTATGCATATGAACTCTCTTACATTGTGTTTGACTTTCCTTCTTATTTGCTTGTATGAGTAGATGATACAAATGTGTAAATCAAAGATCTCATTCTCAAGTGAAGACAAGAGCTAAGAAATAGGAAAACACAGTGTCCGACCTGCTTCCATGCATTAGTACTTTAGAGCAGATCCCATGGCTTTGGAACGATGGATATATGACCATATTTGAAGACCATATATCGCATGCTGCAAAATAGGCTCAACTGCTGTCCATTCCATATTTTTGGCCATGTGATATGATCATGATACAATTGTCCAGAACAGACCTTTCCACTGATAGGGCAGCCATCTTAAATTATTGGATGCTCGGGTAGCAAATGAAGAAATATTTATAAAACATAGAGTGGCAAAGTTATTTTTTCAAATGTGTAGTTCCAAAAATTATCCATACCCCCCTCATGGAGTAATTTTTCAAAGACACCCCTCTACCCCCGGATCCAATTTTCTTCAATACAAACTCTGTAATTTTTGTTCTTTCTCTGTCCCCCCTACTCTTCGGAAATTCCAAATTCCTCTGTGGGGTGGATATGGATGATTTCTGGAACTACACAAGGATTTTACAAGTTTTTTACATATTGCTCCAGATACCAGCAAATTCAATTGGTTTTTAGATGATTCACATTGGATAACGTAAAGTTATATAAAAAGACACCCTGACAGCTGTGCTGACTATAAATTTTCCAATATTTGCTCCCTCAGCATCCCATAATCTCTTACTTAAAACGACATAATTCAAAATGGCCACTGTATCAGTCAAAAGATCAATAGAAATCTTCCTTATATCCTAGTTAATACTTATATGGCATACGCCTTTATCTAAGTGCATCATGGAAGCTAATTTCAGGGTAAAAATAATCGCCACTCAATGGCCAGACACGACGATCACCCAATCAGACTAATCAACATGTGCGCAGTCAACAAGGCTTTGTGCTAAGACATCGAATTCTGTACTATTAAAAATCGAGCATAACTAGATTTGGACTGGATGAACCAATGATTAGCTATTGTCAATATACAACTAATTGGAAAAAAAATTGTTGGGTTCAAAAAAAGGTTATATCACCAAAGCTAAGACCGAAGGGGAGCATGGGAAGACAAACAATTATGCTAATTTCATGCGTATTGCAGTTTCCCCTTCCTGTGCACATTTTATGCATTATGGCTTTGGCATGTTGTTAATCTAGGTCGACCGACTTTACTCTACTGTGCATTTCTACGTGTCTATATGCAAATATAATACACGTTTTGGAGTACCCAAAATCCTTTTTGGTCTTAGCTTCAAAGATATGACCTTTTCGAACCCGACTACATTTTTTCAGTTAGGTATATGTCAAGCTAATCTAGTAAGATGACATTATGATTACACAAGAAACTAACATTTTTGTGCTTCTCGTATTACTAGTATGAACCAGGATTGACCTTCAAGGACTAACAATTTCTAATTAAAAATATTCATATTTTTCGATTTTCACTAAGAGAGCAGAGTATTCCGCTCTCTTTCTAGTGCTGATGGTCTATTCTATCAACAATGCCTATCGCCCAAAAACGGCAATATATTCTGGTTTGCATGCTACAACGATGCATTAAAAATGTTCAGAGATTGCTTAGTATATTAATTAGATTATTAATTACAGTGCAATCCAAATCATCTTGATGCACTTGCATTATTTCTTTCCTCTAACATACTTGTCAGCTTTCTCTGTAGGTGCTCTTCACTGGGGGATCTCTTCGAGGGACTTCCTTCGTCATCTTGAAGTAGTGCTCTTTTCCTACTCTCACCTGAACCTTGCTTGATCATGTTGTTGATGTCACGAAGTTTCTGGAACACAAAGGTGGGTAAGCTCCTTTAGATAGTGCAATAACTAGAGAGCCTATTCCCCTTGGGCGTAATGTTTTCCTGTTTCAGAACGTGTTGTTCTCTTGAGAATAAGATTTTTTGTTTGAGTTGTATCAATAATCATGTGTCTTCTCATGTACAACCATTAAACAAAGAAATGATACTCTAGGGAATGACACATGGTCTGAAATGGGAAGATATTACACCCAGAGTAAAGAGGTCTATTGCACTAATTGATGGGAGGAAGAAAAACGCATGTTAGTAACCCTTGCAGCCAACACTCAGCTTTGGTTCCTAGAAATGCTCTAGTGATGAACATAAGAAATATAAAACAGTTATCTGTTTTAGATGCTCTGATCTTAACACGAGATGCTGAGAACTCGAGAGAAAAAAAAGAAAAGAAAGAAAAATCACACGCATTACACCTAATACAGTGTGCACAACCATGACTCAAAATGCCACAAGATATATAAATAGCAATGAAAAAGCCACCATTGAAATTAATGAGGAATGCTTTGTTTTCGTCAACCAAGATGGTGGCTATGATTAACATGCATATACTCTATAGAAATTACAATTAACACAGCAAAAATGTGAGAAGAGGCAGTATCAGTACAGAGTCCCAATTGATAACACCCCCTCCTCCCCCCTGATACCACATACCTTGGCAGGACTCTCACTGAAGCAGTAAAGTATTCTTGTTGTTGGAGTCATGGGAACATGACCACCTGAAACAAATGACAGAATATACATTGAGCAAAATGACAGACCCCTTGCCAAAATGGAGGCCATAAAGTCATGAGTTAAAATTAAAAAACTTAAACCAGCACAAGAGAGAGCAACCTTTACTTTAGTAACCCTACATATATAGCTCTTATTAACTGAGCGCGAGGTCTGTGCCATACATTATGGACCAAGTTTTCCCCATTGCCTTATGGCCCAAGCACATGGGCCATGACAAAGTGGGGAAAATGAGGTTCCATAACTTATGTGGGGGGTTGGGTAAACACCTTGAGGAGTAGACATGTCTTACTTACCATTAATCTTGTGAGGTGAGATATACACAGGGTGTTTTGTAGATACTTGTCTCCTGGGAGAATGGGCTTGGTTTCTTACCACAGGCAGCGGCGACAGGGGTGGAGATTCCAACTGTCAATCAAAATTGATGGTTAACAAAAATAGCAATGATATGAGAAAATGAAAACAGTTACAAAAAGCTCTGGGCTATAAATTTAAATTTTATCAAACCCGATGGCTAACTAGCAATTTAGCACGTTGGGTTTTGCGGAGGAAAAGTATTTATTACTCCGAATAACCAAAAATATGAAAACTCCTCCATGTTTGCACACATTATATGTACTCACTGTAATAGTAAAAATAGTCAATGCTAATAATTCTAGTCAGTAAAGGGTAATATACTTACGTTTCTGTCATTAGCAGAAAACTTGAGGGCAAAATTCTTTATACGTTTGATGAAAACCTACAGTAAATAATAGAAGCAAAGTTAGCATGAAAACAACAAGTAAGTAGCTGTTACAACCACTGTTATAGTTTTGCAGACAAGTAACAAGTAAAAACAAGTTAAATACAACAAGTGAATAAAAATGACTAGTGGTTACTAGTTGGGACTGTATTGCTGTATTGAATACAGCAAGTGAATAAGATGAAAACTTAAGCACAGTGTAAAAATGGTTTGGAACTATTTTGAAGATTAGGGTGTTACTCTGAATATCTTCAATGACAGTATATTTACAATCTTTTTGACTCTACAAGTTTGCTTCTTATTCAAATGTCTAAGAGCAATGTTACTCACCTTGTTGTAGAACTCAATTAAGTCTCCTCTTTCTTCATCACTACCATGGCTGTTCTCAATGTTACTTGAAGGAGCATTTTTAGCATGTGGGGGTGGGGTAGGGGGAATGACGCCAGTTCCTCTAATAGGACTTGATCTGGCACTTGTGTTGCCATTTGGACTAGTTGGACCACTAGTTGATTCAGCATTAGCCCCTAGGAGATTACAATATAGAACTAGTCAATTCATATGCCCTACCATTAAGTGTACACGGCAGGATTCAATACTGGGCAATGGATTATTTGAGTGTGTGACATGGCATTCATTGTGTGACATAGGATTTATTGTGTGACATGTGATCCATTGTGTGACATGAGATCCATTGTGTGACATGAGATCCATTGTGTGACATGTGATCCATTGTGTGACATGTAATCTATTGTGTGGCATGTAATCTATTGTGTGACATGTGATCTATTGTGTGACATGTGATCTATTGTGTGACATGTGATCTATTGTGTGACATGTGATTTATTGTGTGACATGAGATGCATTGTGTGACATGTGATTTATTGTGTGACATGTGATTTATTGTGTGACATGTGATCTATTGTGTGACATGTGATTCATTGTGTGACATGTGATTCATTGTGTGACAGGATTCATTGTGTGACATGTGATTTATTGTGTGACATGAGATCCATTGTGTTACATGGTATTCATTGCGTGACATGGGATTCATTGTGTGACATGGGATTCAGTATTAAATGGGATTCATTGTGTGACTTTTGTCACCCAATGATAATATCGTCGAAATATTACCTTCACTTCCTATGCTGTTGATTGGAGCTCTTGTATTTGACTTCAATAACACACTCCTGTACACCTACAAAATTAAAAATAACAATACTTTTAGTTCTTATTGTATTAACTGTTTCCATTAATTTTCAAGTAAATTAGATTTTCAGAAAAAACTACCGCTACAATTAAATTATTCTAAGAACACAACTCTCAGCACACAGGTTGGTTTTTGTAATTGTAGGAAAACTGGAGTAACACAAGAAAACCCATTGTGGCAAGCAAGAGTACAAGCACATTATAAAATAACTGTTATTAATCTCATATTCTGATTGGTTGGGAACGCGTGCTTTATGAGAGCACACAGCACGCACACACACTTTTAATAGCGTCATTCCTATCTAAAATAACGGTTATTGTAATTTATATCTTTTAAACGAAATAAAGAACTTGCTTGCTGTGCTGTGTTGAGTTATAAAGCACTTGGGGATTTGCAGATCAACACTCAAGAAGTGTAGAGTGTCTCCTGAAACTTCTCTCACATGTTCTGCCAACCCCCGCGTGCATGCGAGCCCATTTTCTATTTCTTCATTAAGAAAGTTCTCTATTCCTATTCACATGTGACATCAAGCACATGACCCAATCAGTAGCACTTAACAGTGATGGAAGATGAACATAATATTTACCAACAATATTACTTACATGGCTTGCAGCTTGAGGCTGAGTTCTGTAGCATTTCATGATGTTTTGGAACAATGGGTCTGAATTGGTGACCTAAATAAACAAAGACAGTATTAGTCAGAAGATTTTTCAGGTTTGGGCAAGTCCTCAATAATTTCAAGGTGACTTGATTTTTGACTTCTGTAAAGCAACAGGCTGTACTGGACTGTGCTGGGTCTGGTCCATGTAGGTGTAGTATGATTGTTTTATTGGAGCCGGCATTCCCTCCTGATATGAGGGTCTTCTGCTTTTCCTCTCTTTACCAAATGCTTACAAAAATACTTAGAAAATAGCCTATATCTAAGGATGTTGTGCTAAGCTGTTGTTACTTACCTTGCCCATGACAAACACAGAACACATCAAGATCTGATCAAGATGGCGGTCCTTAGCTAACTCAGGGTGAGTCATTAGACAGTGCTCAAAACATGTCCACATCCTTGAAGAATAAAGATATATTATACAACGCCTCAGGTGTGATAATCAACTCACAATAAGTTATGAGGAAATACTAAAAAACATGTTGGATTAGCATGCTGATTTACTAAACACTCCCTTCTTAGGAGCATGCGTAGCTCAGTTCCATGGTTAGTGCACGGCCTTATAAGCTACAATCCTGGACAAAAACAGTTGACAATTTTTGATCTTGTGATAAAATAAATTAATTTCCCATATAAAAATATTATCTAAACTAGCTTTAGCTGCCTCGATGCTGGTTCCAGCATGACTCCCTCTCGTCAGAACCAACATTGTTTGGAGAAGGGGGTTGTTGTAAGGGGACTTTTAAAAATGTGTTTTACATTAAGATATCCTAAAGGAGCTCCTAAAGTTTCATCTATTTTGTCCAAGATTGTTGATGTCCACAGTTCAATCCTCAAGATCTTCATGTCTGTTTAGACTTCTCTCTAATCCATGTAGCTTCATCTAAGTTGAATACTCTCAAAACAAAACACTGATGGAAAGAGCAGGTAAAGAGTGCACCATCAAACCTTCCTGAGATCCCAGCTACGTAGCTGAAGGAACTACATACGTTAAATATAGTTGATGACCAATACCTAGATTTTGATAGCTAAAACTTACTTTCCCCTTAACTCATCATTGACATCCAGCTTTGCACACAAATCACGTAGTCTTACACTTGCCATGTGATATACCTAAGGGAAAATGATCTGACTTAGTTTCTTAGTTTATTGGCAAAAAAGAGAGAGATTGGAGGATGAGAAAGATTTGGAAGAGGTGAAGTATTTAAATAAACTTCTGTAAAAATTGGCAAAAAAGGGAGCAAAAAAAGAAGAAGAGGATGGAAATAAGAAAAAAGAAAGAAGAAAGAATATAATAGGATAAATGAATGGACAACGAGGCATTGAATAAAGGAAGAGAAGAGGAAGAGGAAAGAAGAGAAGAGAAGGGAAGGGAAGGGAAGGGAAGNGCCTGTACGGTAAACAGTTGTCTGACTTTACGAACCAACCTGTTTGAAGCCATTTCTGCGCATTCCTTAGCGAGTATAGTCTTGATTAGATATTCACCACACCCTGGGGCATGAAAGAAAATAGAACATTCATTTGTTCGGTCGTGATTTATATTTTGTCACTTATGTGCCTTCCTACCTGTCGTACAGCAAGCTACACCAACATCACTCCCTTCAGTTTTGTTCCTGGCCCAACAACCACTACCATACACGGCTGCCTGGACAATAACACCCGTGATATTAGTGCGCATCAAGTTATAAACCAACAATAGTTTTGCGCAATACTACGGGAATGATTTGCGCAGACTTGAGACAAAAAAACATTACTCAAGAAGTACAGAAGAGTAAGTGTTTTGCGCACTCGTCCAAATAAAAAGTCGCGATGTCGGCGCGAATCAGCGCAAAGCGTGACGTTTTCACAGATGATGCGCGCACAAAAACAGATAGTAAAGTTTAAACACAAACACATATGATGGCTACGCATGGGTTGCGGCACTTCTTTCTCTTCTCATATAATGCGCATCATACCTGCCCGACTCTCCCAGGGGTCTTAAGTAACAGTCCACCACTCGAAACACCTGCACAAAGATTCCCTTCCGAATCCACGCACACTGCGCCTACAGTATCCATGTATGAATCCTCCTACAAAACAAATCCCACAATGAAATGACTATAATAGGTTGGAAATGTCCTACACAGTGGAATATTTGTAACCTGGACTCCAGAGGCTCTCTTGCTCCATTCCTTTTGGGTAATGAAACCTACCACCGTGTAGCGCACTGGAGAGAAAGAGTCCCTGGAGCCCTAACCCCTTATTACCCCATTCCACTACCCCTTCCTCCTTCCCCTAGACGCACCGATACAGGATTCCTTTGATGAATAAAACTTAGATTTTTCAAAAATTATTTTTCAAGTAAAAATTTGTCCTAGACTTACATAAACACACAAGTCTTCAATTCTTTGTTTCTTGTGAGAGTTATGTGCAACTGTGTTTAGTCTAGTCCTGTCTAGTTTGGCCTTACTTTTGTTAAATGCTGCAAGACTTTTGTCTGAAAAAAAAAAAAAATTTCTTCTCAGAAACACGAAACAATATCTTCTTAGTAAGAGAATTTTGACATTCTGATCTCAAAGCACTTACCAGTTATGAGAGATTCATTTGTCACAATTTCTGCAACAGAATTTTGGCTTGCCCACTGGACTGCGCCATCCCCTACTAGAAATCTAGAAGAGGGGTTGCAGAAAAAATTAATAAGAGAACGATTATGAGAATTTATGATCCCAACAAGGCAGAAAATTTTTTTCCCTTACATTGGTGGAATGAGACCAACACTTGTTGGTCCTTGGAGTTCTTTTTTCAGAAGATTGACAGCAACTTGACTCGGGTTTTTAATCCCTGAAAGAGAAAAGAGAAAATGTCACACAATCTCAAGATACGTCTCCTCTGCAGTTGTCCTTAGTGTTGTCATGCAATGCACTAAGAACTGCTTGCAGGGGAGACTTATTAGACTGTGAGCTAAGTCCCTCTATTTCCCTTCTTCACTGTCGATTGGTCATCCCTCCCTCCCCAGCCCCCTCCCCCAGGGACTTTTGACCTAACCAATCTTACTAGACTAATCGACACAGACAGACGGACGGACAGTGACCAAGGGAAATAGAGGGACTTAGCTTACTGTCTAGAGATTTATCAGATACAAAACAACTAAATGAATTTGATCAAAGGGGTAGCCAGGGGAGGGGTGGTTCAAAGCATGGGTCTCGTTTGGCCCAAAAGGGAGCTGCCAATCTAATTTTTCTTGAACAGACTATAGTCGGATTCCTGTTTGATTACCTTGCTTTAAGTTGAGAAGGTTAAAGGAGATTCTACTCACAGGGCATAGCCTGATGCTATTGCTTTTGAATGGACTGACAATAAACTCACCCTTCACTGCACCAACTGCACCAAACCCAAGTGATTTTCCATCCATGATGCTAGCATCACATTCAACCTCTCCATCGAGATTTAGGTTGGAGCCAACACCTGCATTTGTGCAAGGAGCCTCCTACATCCAATGAAAGTAAATATGTACACAAATTAATAATAGTAATGACGCTGTTCAAGGGTGGTTAATCTACTTGAGAGTCTTTAGTGCTATTTTTAAAGTCATGATTGGGTACCCTGTTTCTTCTAGCCACAGGAAGCCCACTACCTGATTTTTTGGAGTATTAATGTAAAGAGTGATTATGGGGGAGGGGAGAGTGGGGCTAATTTTGTTATGAATTAAGCAAGTTGATAATCAAGAAGCAAATACCTCTAGAGCAGAAAGAGCAAGAGCAACTGCTTCTACTGCTAATTTACCTTCTTTAAGAGCAGCCACTGCCTGAAAATCATGAATTCAAGTCAAAGCAAGGAAGATACAAAATTAAAAATGTTACAAAATGAACCACTTTTTTCATACTTGTAAACATGCTGTCCGACAAGCATCTTGGTAGTCTGCTTCATTTGTAGAGGAGTATTTACTAACACCTGAAAATATTCAGACAAAATTGTTGATAGCTATTATTGTCCTAACACCTTCTTGTACAGAATGGTCTGACCATTCAGGTGAATGAATGCAATGTTTATTGAAGTAACAATATTTGTATTATGACCATCCAGGTGGATGTAGTCCTGAGAAGGCCTGTTTTATGTGACTGACATCACTGACATTTTGACAACTTGAGTGGAATCATGTTCAGAGTCAAAAAGATGACTTCCGCTCAGATTGTCGAAAGGTCAGTCCCATCAAACAGTCCTTCTCAGGACTACATCCAAGTGGGTTATTTGGAGGGCAAAACAATCATTGAGTTTCCAATTTTCAGGAAATTGAAATTCTTTTGTTGTTGTCTTCCAAAATGAGCTCCTTTGATTCACACACAAGGGTACCTGGAGGGGGAGGGGAAGGGGAAAGGGAAAGGGAAAGGGAAAGGGAAAGGGAAAGAGAAAGAGAAAGAGAAAGAGAAAGATGGTACAAGTAATTAATAAATAAAGAAGGGAGAAAGATAACAAAACAGAAAAATGGAAGGAAAAAAGGTATGCATCGCCACTTACCTTTCTGAAAAACAAAGCAAGTGAACCAGTCTTCTTTGGTTTAGTAGCAGGAGGTTGGATGGGTTGTAATGAAGACTGTGCCTGCGCTCTAACTGGGCTTCTAACAGATGATGTGGTGATGATATTTGGAGACAGGGTGGATTCTGGTCTTGGCGAGATGCTGACTTGTACTGATGTGGCAGTAGAGCTCGGAAGAACTACATTAACACCGTTAACTACATAGGCACCATTCGTTGTGGCTGGTGTGATGATGACTGTTGGATAAAGAATTGAAAAAGGGATCAGTGGAAGTAATAGTGGCAAACGGCAAGCACTTAACTAATTATCAAACACGTATACTCACATGCAGGGGTAGGACCTTGTGCAGCTCTGGTACTTGATCTTGAAGCAGTGGAAGAACTAACGACTGCAGCTGATCTCACAAATGGCCCATTATTTTGTGACGGCACTGTTGCTTTCGTACTTGGTCCACCAAAATTGGCCATGAGGTTGCGTCTTGCACCACTGTTGGTGGGGGAATATTGCTCTCGCACTGAGGAAGATGGTGGCGTTGCAACTGTCATATTAAGCAGAATTCGTCATATTTAGGTGTTTCAAATTTTAACAAAGCCTAGAACTACATGTAACTAACAGATCAACTTAGTATGTTAGGATTGGCAGAGGGACGAAAACCAGAGAACTCGGAGATAAACCTGTTAATCCAGGGAGGCAAGAGGCAAGCAAAAACCTTTTTCTAACAACTAGAAACAATGTGATAATAATGTAGAGTACACTGTAGTAATGGGGTCTAAGAAACTGAAGTGGTTGGAGTGCTAAGTGATGGCTTAATAATGATCCCAGTAACAATATTTCTTGAATACAGCATAAGAATTATGTTCAGTGTTAGTTCTTGTGCTGATAATAACTACGGCCTTGGCCCAAGGTTGTACATGTACGAAGCCTAGATAGTGCTATCCTGTGGATAAATCCTTATCCAGTGGATAAGTCGATACTGTTATCCAATAAATTTATTAACTGGATAAGATTTCTCCATTGGACAGTGCTATCCAGGCTTCATACAACCGGTCCCTGATGACTGAATTATTAAAATGACAAAATGTCGTACATTTTTCTTCTCATATACTTATTTATTATATATCTATATGCCCACAAATTCACACATAAGAATAAGAATTGCAACTTACTTCTTCTTTGTGCACCTTCTTCTCCAGATATTCTCTGTACTCTAGGGTGTACAATGGGAGAGGCCAAGAGGTTCTGGTTTGGATCGGAAGCCTCTACATTATTGGGTATTGTAACATCCTCGCATGACGGCACTCCCCCTGCAGTTTGGATGGCATCCCATAAGGGAGAGTTGTGTGCCCAGGCTAAGGACTCCAAAATCTGTTCCTCAATCTATAAACAGGATGATGGCAAGATGATAAGGCTTTATAGAGATGACTGATGATGGAGAAATGATGATGATGTTGATGATGATGATTATTAGTGATGCTGGTGGAGGTGATGATGGTAATGAACATGATGGTTCTGCTTAAAAGAAATGGTTGAAAGCTTCAAACATGACCACTGATTAATCGTAGATTGACCTGCTAATATGAATGATGTCAATGATGATGGCAATGAACATGACTGGTGATATGCTTCTGCTTAAAAGAAATGGTTGAAAACTTTGAACATGAACACTAATTAATCGTAGATTGACCTGCTATTTAATGCTGTTGATGATGATGGCAAATAATGATAATGATATCTGATGAAGATGATGATATATGATGATAATGATGATATACGATGATGATGATTATATATGATGATGATATACGATGACGATAATGATATATGATGATACGATGACGATAATGATATACCATGATTTACGATGATGATATACAAAATGATGATGATATTCAATGATGATGATGATGATATATTATGATAATTAAGGTCCTGATGAATGGGATTGTGATAATAATGATGTTAAGACAGGTTAGACGATACTCACATGATTAAGATGCTTGACTACATCTCTTGATAAACCATCCTCAGCTTTTATTAATACCTCTATTACTTTATAGAAGTAGTATGGAGCCAAGCCAAAGATTTCTATCACCCAAGGAAAAGCTCTGCAAAGCAAACACTTACATGTTTAGTAAATCTTGGTCAATCCATATCAAATGCATTATTCCTTATTAGCATTTTTACACTAGTGAATATAATAAATCAGGCATGACCATTGGTCCTCTGCTGTTATATTCACCTACAGGTGAAAATAACGTGCATGTCTGTACTAGTTTGTCATTGTGTGCAGCTTGCAGAGAACACTTGCCTCTTGGTAAATATTTCCTGATATTCACTACGCCTTCAGTAAAAAATTGTTAATTATAAATTATTAATGACAAAAAAAAATTATAAATAAGTCACCCAGTTTGTAAATCAGATACAGACTCTTCCTCATTTACATTTAACTGTAACATGGATTTTGTTCATCAAAATCACTCCAAATTTTAGTAGAACATGAAAATATACTCCTAAACATTTAATAAGCTGACAGTTGTACAGACGGAAAAACTACTCCGAAACCATGAGGCACAACAAACATCTTTATTACACTGCTGCCATTAGCATGTCTGCAAGAAGTTCCCAGGGAATTGTGGGTAGGGCAAAACACAGGTACCCCACATATACAACATAAGCAATATATATAGGGACTTTGCCTCCAGTAAAACACTCAAATAAAACCTGGTATCTTTACCTCTGAGAATTGTAAGAGAAAATAACAATTTCTAGACAGCATCCTAGGAGTGAACGATGGAATATATCTTGCTCAAGGAGTGTCTGAAGAGAAAGAAGATAGCAATCAATCAACCAGCCGACTGACTATCCAAATGTAAGACAGACAGACAGAAAGACAGATGGATTGACCAATCATTTAATCTGTTGTTTGGTTGATAAATCAAGAATATGCTGGGAAACTCATAAAAAGTACACAAATACTGAATGATTGACAAAACATATTTCAAAAATTCAACAAATCTAACATAAACCTAACTGGTATATATTATTGTGTGAAGACAAACCTAACCGGGAGCACTTGAAGAACGTTAACCAATCACAAAATAGATTTAAAACAAAGGAATCAGACTCAAGTCAAACTTGAACCAATGAGGAACAAGTAACAAAGACTATAAATATCTGAGAAAAACTTAGATGTTAACAACCGTGAGAAAGAGTGATTGTGATTGGCTGAGATCAATGTGCTACTGATTTTACCTTCTCCTGATTGGCTAAATCTATCCATACTTTAAAAAAGCAACTTACTGTGACATCTAAGTGACCTTGTAGTCTTCTCTTTTCAGACAAAGTGATGTTTTCCAGGACCTTGAAAAAGTGAAAAAGGTCAATTGCTTTGTTTTTTTTATTGAAATTTGCGAATTTGCAAAATAGAAAACGCGTGTGTGTGCTGTCATAAAGCACGCGGGGATTGGCAGAACACAAGAGAAGTGTTAGGAGAAGCATGACGCGTAGCGGAGTGCTTCTGGACACTTCTCAAGTGTTCTGCCAATTCCCAAGTGCTTTATGACTGCACACAGTACAGCAAGCAAGTTATTTATTTCTTTTATAAAATACAAATTACAATAATAGATAGGAATGACGCAACTGAAAGTGCGCGCGCATGCAATGTGCTCTCATAAAGCATGCGCTCCAAACCAATTGGTATATCTCTATCTCCTACCATATAGAGAGGTGGTTTGAGGAGGGGGTGTGGTGTGGGATGTAGGGAAGGAGGGATGGCATTTTTATGAGTGTAATAATACTAAGTAAAATAATAATAATAATACTAAGAGAGATTCCTCACCTTGTAATACAGGATTTCTGCCAGTTTCAACCGACGAGTTGCAAACTCCTTGGTTGAACAAGGTGAATTTGGCCTGTCAGCTGAAGGCTGTAATGAATAAGAAAACTTTTGTCGTTGACTTCAATTCATGGGAAGCAATGATCTGATCTGTGGTGCTAATGCTGATGCACGATCTACACAGAGTAGTTTGACCATCATTATTTGTTCAATAATGTATTTTAATAAAGCCAAGCTTTTGGTCATCTCAGGGTAAGAGTAAGGGTTAACAATACATAGGATCATATATACCTGTACATATTCACCAAGGAAGATTTCTCCAAGTTCCTCTACTCTAGAGGTAATGGACTGTAGAGGGTTCTTTGTGCACTCTCTGAAGATAAGAAAAAAATCACATTGAGGATTTGGTACACTTAGGAATGGTTAAGCAAAGGCTCTAATAGAGTGACAAACTCCAGGGATGTTTGAAGGAAGCCTCGAATGCACTGAAAATATCTTGAATATCCCAAATTTGAGGCCACCATTCGAAACCTTTCTTGGCCCCTAACCCCCACTGCATTTTCCGATTAGCTGTAAATCCTAGTGATGAGCTTTTCATTTGGAATAAACATGTCAAAATGGCACCAAACAAAAAGCGTGTTAAAATGTCTAGACAGGAAGTTGATGATTTCTTTATCAAGCAAGTCAACTTTGTTTCTATACAACAGTCTCCTTAGCAATTTTACTTTAGTTCATTTATTTACCTTGATCAGTAAAGCAGAGGACAAAATTAACACTTCAAACTCAAAAAATGTGAGTGAAATTTTACATTTAGCAAGTAAGAAAAAACTAGCTAAGTTTGGCGAGTATGGCTGCAGTCCAGAAATCGAAAGACTGAAAAGTTTAGAACCTACATCAAGTATAACGTTTGTTATTCACCACGACCCATAGCTAGTGACTTTTTTGCTAGCGAGAACAAAACTTACTAGCAAGGTTTTGCTAGTGGGTTTAATAGTTAATTTCATGTCCTGTAAAGGAGCGCATGCAAACCCTCAACTTGTAGTATGTCACTGACAGTCTCGATTAGTTTCTCTCTGACAAGGCAGACACACGGCACACCTTATTGTTAATGTTGAATTTGAAAGTGAAAGTGAAAGCTGGTGAAATAAGATCTAGGTCAAAACTAGTTTTATCAATCCCAAGTAATAACTTTGTGAGCAACACAGAGTAATAACAAAAATCACAATTTAAATTTTTATTTATATTTTTCATGAATATTATACTTACTTGAAGATATTCAGAAGCCGTTCACTCGGGGCTGGTTTCAGCCCTGAGCACATGGCTTGCAAGCGACTGACAGACTGTGTTGCTGTAGATACAGGAGTATTTCTATAAAAAATTTGATAAATTCAATAAAATTGATTGCATTAAAGAAATAAGAAAGGAGAATAAATGTTTCATTTATGAAATCATGTTTTCAGAGAATATACTTACTTTGGGTCTTTCTCTTTCAAGTAGCGCCTGCCAGTCAAAGGTGTCTGTGGTGCAAGACTTCTTGTCTAAAAAATGAATAAAAAAATATAAAATATTATTCCGACCTCCTATTTATTGAACCCCGAAACTACCTCTGGGCTGGTGTAAGTCAAGGCATGGCTAACTCACGATTCAATCCCTGAAACAACCTCTGGGCTGGGGTAAGTTGGGACACTGCATTCACAGATGGAACCCTGAAAAACAACCTCGGGCTGATCAAAGTTATGGCACAGCTAATTCACAGATCGAGCCCCGAAACAGCCTCAGACTTGTCAAAGTCAGGGTATGGCTAAACTCCCAGATCTAACCCTAAAATAAATTTGTATAATACAGAAACATTAGAGCGAACATAAAGTTGAAGAAATCATCAAGACTCACCTTACTAAAATGTTCTTGAAGATTTCGTCTCAAACCCATTCTGAAAAGATTAATATAGTTTATGAAATAATTGGGATACAACGCACGCTATGATTGGTTGAAAACCAATTGGTTGATTGGTTGAAAACCAATCATCGCATCATTTTAGAGTGCGCGAGTATTGCAACTGTCAGATTTTAATCGCGCGTGCTCAATGTTGGTCTGTTTCAATATGACGGCACGTAGGGAGAATTTACTTATACTTTGCTTTTTTTCAATCTTTTTACGCGTTTGTTATTTTATGAAACAAATCAAAAACGGTTTTCCGTGTTTGATACTCTGATCAAAACACTTGGGATGTTGGCAGAACACTCGAGAAGCTGGAAACCACTCCACTACTTGTTGTGGTTTCCAACACTCCTCTCATGTTCTCTCAACATCACGTGTTTTGATCAGAGTATCAAACACAGAAAACTATTTTTGATCTGTTAATTAAATACACCAATCAATAGGACATTGGTATAGTGACTATAAAAAGATATTAGGAATGAAAAAGCAGAAGTTTGAAGATTTCATACTGCTATGAAGACTAATTCCAAATCGTCAACACAGTTCCAAACTCTTTCACAATGTGTTTAAAACATTTTCATATTCACTCGTAGTTTTCCTGCTCAAACAGTCTCAAGTAGTTAACCACTAGTATATTCAAATAAAGTAGTAATCGGCATCGCAGAGGTCATGGGTTCGATTCCCGTTGAAGCTTGAAATCAYTTTTTCAAGTCTTTCTTTACAGCGTTCGCTTAGATCGCTCATTCACTGTGATGATCAACACATCTATTAAAGTAGTAATATTCAAAGCATCAGCTTTAAATTAATTATTTTCCAAGTAAGAATAATTGATCAAGTTTCTGACTCTACCTTTGCTGTTCTTCAACGTCACAGGATTCAAATAGTTTAGCTGGTGTTCCTATTTCTATGTGAGCTTCTTCACCAAGGAATATTCTTTCATCAAAGTCTCCAGCTGATAAGACATATTCCTCGTATTCTCTATTAACATTCCTCCTAAAAAAACAAATAAAAAATAGTTGTTCAACTACAAAAATTCAAAAAGAGCTCTTTATTCAGGTGGCTGATTTTGGTCAAAAAATAAAGCTTTACTAAGACAAACTTCTAGGCATCATTTTGCTGTTAATGTAGTCTGTTGGTGGGTGGGCTCGCACTGACACACCCATCATATGACACTGTCCACATGACAACAGTGTTAACAAAGATTGTAAAGAATGCATACCCCTTTAAGGAAATTTCAGAAAAGAGATGTTGGGATTTTTAATTCTTTTTACGGCCTGGCTGTTGAAATTTTTTTCCCTATTTCAGATCAGATGTCATTCCCTTGAGTATTCATTCTTTCTTCTTTACAACTTTGAGCGGTAGTCTCAAAGTAGTGACAAAGTTAAACCCAAGAAGAAAAATTTAAGAAAAATTATGAATTCAGTTTTTCACAAAAAAAAAATGTACAGACTTTCACATTCTGAAAGTAAGTTTCTACTCTTCAGTCCGTGGAGATTTTACACCCTCACATCAAAGATGAAAATCTCATATATATGGACTAAGGCCCTGTCCACACTATGCCAGATAAATTTGAATCTGCAGCTTTCACACCGAAACCGAAAAAAAAGTTTTCCATCCACACATGAAAACGGAAAAAAATGTTCTGCGTCCACATTAGTCCGATCAGAGGTGGCAAAAACACTTCATTGCACATCTGAGCATGAGCATTAAAGCTGAAATTAAGCCTGCGGTGAATTTTTAGCCTTCCCGCCATGTTCAATGACAATCATGACGTCATTGTATCCGAAAAATTTCAGATACGAAATGTTCTCCGTCCACACTAATACGGCTAGCCGGTGTATTTTAAAATTGTTCCACACTGGAGACCGTATTCGAAAAAATTCGTTTTTGGTGAAGAATTGTACCGGATTCACCCGGACTAGTGTGGACAGTAGGCCTAACTGAATAAATAGAAATTCGGATTCAAATTTATCTGGCGTAGTGTGGACGGGGCCTAAAGATATAGTTGATGAACGACGAGTATATCAGTAATTAAGATCATTAATACATACATGTTTATTTCAAAGTTGCCAAGGTCTAAGATTCCAGACAAACTGTCTTCTGTTCCTCTCAAGTTCTTGGGTAAAAAACATGACATTAAAAAACAATGCAACATAAGAATATGGGAGAAGAGAAAAGAAAACATAGGAAGTAAAATGAAAACACTAATGCTTACCTTTCTTTCAAACAGTTTTTGGATAAAAGGTTTCCAGTAATGCTCCTTGATACTTTTGGCTTCTAAGACAATTCCTTTTAAAATATCATTGATAATAAATGTGAGATATCTGATTTATTGGAAAGCTAGTTTACATAGAGTGTTTGATAACAGGGTTCGAAATAGCGGCCTGTCAATGGCCAAATGACAGGCCAACTTTCAGGTTTGCCAGGCAAAAAATAACGATGCACTGCCAAATGAATAATAAAATGACATGCAAAATTTACTGGAATGACCTCTTTTTACCATGCTCCATTTTTTTTGGCAGGCTGAAAAAAAATCTATTTCAAGCCCTGTGGTAATATCAAGTGTTTAGGGTTAGGGTTGGGGTAGGAATCGTAATATCATTTGGTGCCAAGCGTACTGTACTTGAATATTGTCTGCTGCCATTGATTTTTCCCAAGTGAGGAGAACCAAAATCCCACTCGTGTGTTCAGAAATCTATGATGTACTTAGCTAACCAGTACGCCACAATACTACCAAGTGTTTGGTTACCTTCATAAAAAATATACCAGCAATGTTTTACCATAGCCTTACCCTGGTATTTACTGCAAAGTTGCTCAACAATGCATGACGGCTTTGCTGGTGACCTTGAATCTTTGGAAGTAAAATCACTAGGTAGACCTGTGCAGAGAATAATTTTAAGAAACTTTACTGTTGATTCCAATTAGAATATAAAAGTTCATCTTAGCAGAGTACACTACAAATGCTTCCCATCATCCACAGATGCAGTCATTAGGGATTGAGGCAGAAAGATGTTTCAGATATAGGTGTGGGTGCTGGGAGAAACTTGTTTGGTAGAACTATTTAAAACCATCATGTCCTTCAAAGTAAAAAGTTTGCATTCCCAAGATAAGGCTAAGATTTTAAAGTGGGTAGCCTGTGGTGAAATTGGGTACCTCTCCTCCCCTGACGTTTCCTCTAATACTCTGCCATCCTGGCCGTTAGAGCTCACAGCACTGAAGGACACATTTCTTATGAAAGCAAAAGTAGCCCTAGCTAAATAAATCAAGTAAAATATACCTTCAAAAGATGAATTAATAAGGTCCTTTTTGTGTCGTGCAGTTAATGCATTACTGTATATCAAGTCTAAACAGCATAGAAGTAGGTGATAGGAGTTCACCAAGTCGTCACTTATAGCTGGAAAATTCCCTAGGATGCAAAAGAATACCATGATACATTAAATCTCAAGATATTCAAACTCCAGTGCAACATAATTAACCCCTTCAATCCCAGGGTTCCTAGCAAGGTACTCACTCCAGCTACTGGCAGCCATCTTGGATTTTCCCCTAAGATTATAAAGGGGAATGAACCAAATACTGAAGAACAGCGGCATAATTTTTTCAATTTCAATTGCCAATGACCAGGGATTACAAAGATTATGAATAACAAAGAGGTGTATATATATATACATATATAACCACAGGAAACCCGAGACATAGGTTCAAGTCCCGCCATGCTTAATGTCGTACAGTACATGAGTAAAATTGTTATGTTGGTTCTCTCCTGTATAGTTGTCTAGCATGGCATCAATGATATCAGTGTTATAAGATACTCTAAGAACCAAGTCTCTTGTGGTTGTTCTTACACCTCATAGATATTAGGAATACTCTACATCTCTCGTACTTTGAGGGTTTTTATCCAGGTGCTCTTGTTTGGGCCCCATTACAAAAATCAACTTCTGAATTGTGTAGTTCCAAAAATTATCCATACCCCCTTAAGACACCCCCTACCCCCTGGAAATTCCAATTTTCTTCCATACAAACTCTGTAATTTTTGTTTATTTCTCTGACCCCCCCTACTCTTCAGAAATTCCAAAATCCTCTGTGGGGTAGATATGAATGATTTCTGGAACTACACATTCTAATTCCATCTTAGGAGACATTCCTGATATGGCTAACGTTATATTTCCTTTCACATAAAAATGTGAATAAATAAATAAATCATATATGTCCATGGCAGGGAAGCAGTTAGGGATGAGGTCTAGACAATGTTAAAATGTTAATTATGGTAGGGAATCATTAAATTGATTGTTTGAAAACCAGATTTAAATGTCGGGCTTGCATTTTCATTGCCACATAATAGTGAAACATGTTTTGAAAGCAAAATATTTTGCTTCAATTGCAAAATTTGCTTTTTGCTTTAATGAAAATGAATTACAATTTTCAAATGTTTGCATCAATTACAAACTCTGCAATCATACATATTGGTAAATTAAATAACACATATCCTGAAAACCCCCAACATGTATTTTATATTGAAATACAATTTTAATTTAAGGAATCAAAGACTTAAATGCTATAATTTTTTACCATCACAACAATAACAATCTCAATTTACAGCAATATTCTAAAATTTATAGATGCTTACAATATTGATTATTAACCAAAGCAATCAAGCATCAATCAAAGATGCACAACATTTGAAAAAATACAATTTCATTTAACAAATTATAAAACACAAAAGATATTCAAAATTTCCAAGTATAAGCTTTTATGACTGTTACTGATCAAAGTTATAAATAAAATAATTACCGTAGGTGTTTCTTAAAACTTAATTATTTTGCGGTAAACAAATTTAGGCAAGCCTAGACTTGCATATGATTTTATCATGACCTTTGCCATCACTTCATAATACTCTGAATACAATGGCACACTCACTTCAAAAACCAATCAAGAATGTATTCATTATTTAATCTTGTTATAGTCCTACAATTTTTAGCCTTTCAAAGTTAATCCATAATATAGCTTGTCCTGCAAGCAATTATGTGAGCTAGATTGTCCAGTATGATACGGCCAAGCAAACTTGCATAATGTCAAAATTCTAGACCAAGGGTCTGTTCATTGCATATAATACTTATTGTCAACACAAGATGACAATTGAATTCTCAGCTGTAAAATTTTAAAGAGAGGCTTGGCTTGTATGAAGATTTTTATCTTTGAAATGGATGGCAACATTTCCTAGTGGTTCAGAATCATTCATAAATTCAAAGGAATGACATTTTTCTTTTAATTAAGAGTTGTGTTGGTGCTATGCACAGAAAAATACTTTTCCTCTTAAAAATATTTAAAGATCAACGTGCCTGCAATAACTTTCATTTTCATCTAAGTCTTAAAATACGGAAAACAAAAGTTTTTAATGCGTCTCAATTTTTTCCACAGATCTGTCACTACCTCACTTCTACTATTTATTTTAGATGGTATGATTACAGGATTTTAGTGCAATATTAATACTCTCTTCCTGACTACCTTAAGACTGATCTCATGAAAACAAAGAAATAACTTGTTACAACATCAATCAAGATCAAATAATCTGGTGCTGAGAAGCTAGTCTACACCCTTATAGAAGATGCAGTTTGTCCAACAATTAGAAATTACCACAATGTGTTAGGGATTTCGTTTCAGCTAGAATACCTAAGTTACAAACTATCTCCAACACGGTATTTGGAAGACGTAACCTTATTTCAAATTTTAAAAAAAATCTATTATCATTAGAAATTCAAAATTTAAAATTACGAGTTTTACACTGTAAATTTTTTGGACGAAAAAATTTTTGAAATGCAAATCGTATAGCAGAATCGTATCAATTAAAAAAGTTGTTATACTAGAAAGTAAGCTTATATAACTTATCGAAGCTTAAAGGAAGCTAAAATATAGATCTATAAAGGAAGGAATGATTTATAAAATTTATAGTTAATGACCTTTTTTCGGTCGATTTGTAAAACAAAATGAATGTAGACGTTTAATACCTTTAGCTTGCACGTACAGGGTCCAGCAAAACGCAAACACCTCTGCAGGAGTACAAGGATGTTTTCTGAAACAAGTAAACAACAGAGAAATTAGAAATTAGGATTTCACATGTTTTGCAAGCCAACCAGTCCAGTTGAACAAAGCCCGAACTAACATGTATAAGCATTAATTATGTCTTTTTAAAACGCATGTGACACGAGTACATACCAACTTTGAGGTTTCAGTATTTATTTTAAGTGTATAAGCAATCTAGGGTGATAGACTTAATGGAGAAGTATGTCGATAGTGGTTGAAACCTACCAAACATTGACTGATCAAGAAACTTACAAAGATTGAAACCAACAAGTCGATGCGTAGATTGTTTACAAAGCGAAGAGTTACCCCATAAACAACTTACCTAGATTTTCGTCCTCTTTGACTCCTAGGAATCTCCTCGTTCGGATCTCTGAAGATATCAAGAAAGATCGGACGATATTTCTTAAATATGACCGTCGAGACGTGGAAGTTACGTTCAAGATGTTCGATCTTTCGTCGAAAATCACTGGGAGCGTTGGACATATCGAGCCATTTTTTCATCTTACTGAAAAAATCTATGAGACTGAAACCACAGGAAAAACAGATTTATTAGCTTTATACTTTCCATAATGTGTGTATGAGGTAGTTTTAGTCACAAAGGTTATGATTATGAAGTATTACCTCAAACCAGAAGCGCGAATGAGTCTTGTGAGCGAAACGCAATTTCCCTCCACTGTGCTTGAACTATCAACGGTCGGTACAACGCTCTTCCTACAAGCCACATATAAAGAACAAGCTAGCCAGTGTATACTCTTTCCCTGAAATAAGACAACCCTGCATAAGATAATCTAACTCTTCTAGTTAGTCAATCAATAATATTATTAGTCGCTCGAGAGCAAAACGTTCGAATTCAACTCAACAAGAACAGACTCTGTAACAAAGTACTTCGTCCAAACCTCGAGAGAATAGTTGGTTTTGATCTTCTCGTACGATCTCCAAGCTTCTTCTGCTGTCTCCCCATCCATGTTCAGCTCTCTGCAGACATTATCAAACTTCTCCCGGACATTAGAATCCTCTTCTCTGTTGTTAGAGGAGGCCATTATTTCCCCGGGTTTGCTTTGCCCTCTTCACTAATAATTTACATTCAAAGTCAGAGGAAAGCGGAGCTGCTCGAAATGGCGGGAAAATCTGGTGACGCGCGCCATATTAGGAAGATAGCGCCCATGACGACAGCGTGTCAGCTGTCAATAACAATAGACATTGTAATGGCTTCCTCACCTTATTTGGCACTTGGTTCCCGCCATTTCGAAATCCTACGTAATACTCCGTGATACTCAGATTCCCCAAACTAAAAAAATATTATCTTCATGAAGCAAAAGAGATTCCAAGTTATACCCAGAGGGATGTAAAAGGAGATATTTTTGATTAGTGTGGAAGCGTGGCATGGCTTAACTTTTGCGCGCCCTCATCAACTTATTTATCAACGAGACAATAGATGATTATAACTTAATTATGTAAAGGCAAGAAAAACCGCGTTCTTATGCCATGCTTTTTTAGCCTTTGTTTTATTTTTAGAATTGATTCTTAAAAACGTTGACCTTTTTAAGATTCTAGAAGTGAATGATTTTAGGAAGAAAATCCAATAAATTAGTAGGTGTCCTGAAAAAATGACCACAAAACTATCAAAGGGGGAAAATATTGACATAATATGATATATCGTAAAAAATTGATCTAAAGATTGTTAAACCTGACATATTTTTATTTTTCTGGAAAATATAACTTTTTTTACATACTAGCATTATATCGAATACTACGTATTGGGATGCCTGTGGCTATGAAACCGGAAATCGAATATTAGTACTGTCTTCCGGTAAGTAGTAGCATAGAGTTTCCAAGAAGTTGGTACAAGCGTCTCTTTTTTACGAGTGTTTTTCAGGATGTTTTCTTCCGCAGGAATAACCGATCAAAACTCATTTGCAAGAGCCTTGAAACCCTTTATTAACGTATCGATCATATTTGGTCCTGGAGAAAGGATAACGAACCCCTTCTTGAACAGGCTTGCGACTTTGATTTTTGTCTTCTTTCTTCTTGGTTTGTCCTTCGTTGCAGTTCTAGGCGTGTTTGTTCGAACTACTATCGACACGTGGATCCAGTTTTCTCTTTACATTGTACCTCTGATATCCCTCGTGTGTGGTTTTCAGATCTACCGTAGTGAAGGGTTTAATATTCTTCTTGAACGAAGACTTGGACGGCGGTCACCTATCGGGGTGTTTGCAGTTCCCGAGAAAGAGGGTCAAATTCTTTGGCACGAGTCCAACAGGGGACCATGGCTTAGGAGATCTGCCATTAAAAACTGCCTTTATCCACTGGCTATAGAGTTTTACCAATGGCTAGCATACATGTGTTTCCATTTGTTTTTCTCGTCAGGGGATAAATTTGCTGGTACTTGGAAAGAAAGTCAAAGGCTTTTCGATGCTTATCTTAACGAAACGACATGGACAATACTCTACGTGTGCTTTTGGGTGTCCGGTGTTTACTTAACTGGTTTCGTTAGCTATTCGTTCATCCTTATAGCCCGGCTCACTGTCAGGGACGCTATAAGTTTTATGTGCCGCTTTGGAGATGGTCCCTTCCTGCCACACAAACCCACACTGAGAGGTATAGCCCTGGCTATCACTGAAAGCAATAGTGTTCTGAGAAAGATTACTCGCTATATCTTAGGATTTTTGTTCTTAGATATGTTGGACACCGGGAAAGACATCGTTTTGATTTATGAACATGATAACGAGATGGAAGCCGGGAGATCTGGGTTGCATCATGGCAAGGAAGATGTCGATCTTGATGGTGCAGATACCAGCGATTTTGAGGAGTCAGTTAGTACCCGACCCAGGTCATCTAGTATAAGTGTTCCACGTAAACCAAACATAACTCCATCAGAAGCATGCAAATGCCTTACTAATTTGATTGCAAATCTTGAAGCCTTAGCAAGTGCATTCCAACCATTTATTATCCTTTTATCATTCTTTGCCGTTGCTAATTTTGCAACCCACATTGTTGCCATAGTAATCAAGATCAAGGATTTCCAAGCCACGCATTGGTGGACATTTACACGCACCTTCCTCTGGCTTCTCTTGTCTATACGCCTTCTTTGGAGTGTTGCCACCATTACACGCATGCTTGCATACATTCCAATGCATGTAAACTACCTTCATTCTATTGGTGCCCTTCAAGGAGATCAAAAGGAATGGGAAGGCTTTTTCAAGTTGATGGACAGCTTTCATCTTCGTACCAAGACATATGGCTTTCCTCTTACCCTTAAACAAGTTGCTTATTGTGCAACATTTTTAAACTTTGCATTTTTGATTGTGTTATCGATAATGCATCCAAAAAAAGATTAATCAAGTCTGAAGGGAACAAAATTTTTACATTTGAGCAAGTGCTATCATATGCATGTGCAGACCCTATGCGAACTGCCATGGAAAAGGAATACTAGTTTTAAATCCTCTGTTGTACATGTAGAGGGTTAGCCTCAACTTGTACCAAGCTCTTTTGAATATTCAATTCTTTTAGTCCATTGAAGGTTGATGATAATAATAATAATAATAGTAATAATAATAAATTAATCAGAAAAACTAACACAGATGATTAATTTAATAACAAGAGTCAATCTTATACGAATAATAATAAACTTTGTTTATAGAGGATAAAACTTGACAGTAATGTTTTAACTGATAAACTCACGGTCCTCTTTTAACATCTCTAACTAATTAGGGACGGGACCGCCATTAACGTGATCATCCAAGCCACATGAAGGTCTAGCCATTTGCATTATAATTACAAAAGCAGTACCTTCTCAGTTATATTTCAAGACCCTGAGTGTTGGTCCAGCCGAGGCTTGAACCACGACCTCTTGCACAACAGACCGATGCTCTTACCAACTGAGCTAAACAGCTGGTGGTAAGATGTTTTTTTTTCATTATCATATGGGGAGATATTGCTGAATCTCATCAGCCAGAGGTTGCTTATAATGTATAATACAACTGACACTCCTCGTTCACTTGTATCAAAGATTTGAAATAGTCAACAAACTTAGTTGCATATGCATTACTAGAGACATATAAGAGACAAATGAGGCATATGAGTCATACAGTCAATTCAAAAAACGTTGTTGTCAACCAACTCAAAGCCTATGCGGCTGGACCAAAAGAACTCTGTAGTAATCATTGAAGCTGATCGAGTTGACTCCATAATTTTATCTGACTAGTAGTTATGCCTGGTCACAGCACGAACCTTCGTAGGCGAGCAGGAAGTGTTGAAGGAGACGTTTTTTTAACACCACATTTTCAGATTTATGAACTGAATCATAATTACTTTGTTTTTCTTTCCCTAGACCTGAAGACATGTATTTGATGGATTGTTTCTCTCCATTATTATCTTACTATTAGCGGGAACAATTAATTCAGAACAAATATTTAAGCGCTTCAGTGATTTTTACCCATATTCCTTTTCGGTCCAGTCGTGTAGGCTTGAGCCAGTCAATGATGTTTTTTTGAATTGACTGTATATACAAAATGTATACAAGGACTGCGTAGCTTCAACATTATACTTATTCCAGTCTAATTCTGGGACTATAGTCAGACCAAATGAACTATGTACTTTGAGCATAGACAATGGACCATGATATGTGGCATGATTTTATTGTCACAGTCTTATCTAGATCTAGGAAACTGGATTCTAGTCATGTGAATAAGGGTAAGGTCAAAGCAAAAACAAGCAGTATCAGAAATACAGGATGCTGGTCAGTTTTTTTTAGGTTTCTGTGTCCTAGAAACTAGAC